GGGTTCCTACTACTCTCCTTGATTATCTTCCATGTCTAGATCAGAGAGCTCTTGCTCAGCAACACTGGCATTCTGCAGGTATCCTTGTCACCGCCAACAGGAAGTCCAGATTCAACACAGCATCGAGCCTTCCTCAGGCTCCTCAGGCCTGCTTTGTGAGAGACATTCTAATGAGCTCATCTGAGACTATTTACTTCAGTCCAGTCCCAGGGATGAACGACTCATCCCTCCCACAGTCCAAGGGCTCTATGCCTCGACTCTGTGCCTAGGACCCCTCCCCTTGCTTCTTGCCAACCTGCGGTCGTCTTAATTCCTCCACATCCAATTACAGTACAACCTCCTCTAGCTCCTCCCTACATGTTCCAGAAGGACATGACCAACTGTTCTCTATGGAGATCGCACAGATCCTGTGAACGGTACTTATTCATCCCCACCTGTACGATTGACAGCTGCGTCTGTCACCAAACACATCTCTTTTGTCTCTGGAAAGATACCCCACTCTCCTGCATGCCCTTCCAACCACACAGCTTCGTAAACACTTCTCTTTCTTAGAGTTCACTGAGCAGTTATTATCTACAAGGCATTAGGCCAAGAACTGCAAGGGCGGGAGGAAAGAAAAAAATAAAATGCAATCCCTTTCTTCAAAGGACTCTTTAATAGAATCAGTGAGGCATGATGACAACCTAAGCAAGGAAGATGGCTGTGGGGGTGGAACTGGGTGGAGGGACGTTCTGAAAGTGGAAGGAACATTCTCGGTGTTCCCAATGAGGGCACTGGTGTTAGGACATGGAGGGAGGGAGAAGGAAAAGAGAAGAAATCTGCTTTGAAATCCCCAGTCTGGGCTGGAGTCATTAGCAAACTCCCCCATCAGTCTGGTCCATCTAAGCCGTCCATCCCCCACAAGCCAGAGTCATCTTCCTGCAAGACTGATGGTGAAACTCCCCATTTGAGTGCCTGCTGTTCAGTGAATCAAGCATCCGCTAATTGTAGGCTTATGCTAGGAGTTATGGAGAATACCAGTTTGTAGACATGACACAAACCCCAGGAAACATCTGGAGAACAAAAAAGCAAGAACATGCTGTGAAAGTGCTAGGGAGCGGGAGACAGATGAGGGTGTGATCAGTATGGGCTGAGAGTAATCGAAAAGAATTAGTCAGAGGAGGCGATTCTTCAGTGCAGGCGCTCGGTGAAAAAAAAAAACTTAGACAGGACATACCAAGAGAACTTCAAGATCTTCAAATCCTGAGGCTTCTTCACATTTATCCTCCCAGGTTTTTTAGTTATCCATTCATTCACCCAACAAGTATGTAATAATTAAGCACTTTGACAAAACACTGTGTGTTTACTGAATGCCTTCCATGTGTCAGGAACTCTTCGAGACACTGGGATACAGCATTGAACAAGAGACCTTAAGTCACCCAAGCTCCACAATGTAATGTAGATGAGTGAAACTGAGCAAGTACAACACAAGGTGATGGGAGCGTTTTGGATGCTACCTCTCAGATCTCAGAGCAAGGATTTACAAGCCCAAGGCCCAGGAGAACATCACCAGGAGATGAAATCAAAGCCAGAACTCCAAGGCTAGAGAGGAGTTAACCAATAAAAGGGGGCTGACCCTCCAGCCAGCACATCGGGGCGCAAAGGCCTGATGTTAAGAGAACATCCAGCATGCCAAGGGACCAACACATACTCAAGATGACTGTGATGCTGAGTGCAAGGAGGGAGGGAGGAAAAGCAGGCTAGGAAGCTAAGCAAGCCCAGAAAAGGGATCATTTCCCCAAGGTATGCCTGGGATCTTACACCTGTGGGTAACATGCAAGTGTGTGACACATGTTTCTCACTTACTAAGGACATGATACATAGCTGTTGAAGACTAGATTAGTGAGACTAGAGGAGTCCTGAAGCTCCTTTGCTGAGGACCTTTTGATCCCACATTGAAGGTATATGAAGTATCCTTTACTCCAAACGTTTGGGACAAAATGTGTTGCAGATTTTGGATTTTAAACCAGTCCTGTCCATAGAATGAAGCCTCTTAGGATTTTGAGCCAAATCTAAACACAAAATCATTTGTTTCTCGTACACCTTACCCATGTAATCTAAAGGTATTTTTATACAACATTTTAAATCATCTTCATGAAGCATAGTTTCATGGTACGGACTTCTCCACTTGGTGTTGTATCTATCTGCAAAAAGATGCAGGTATTGGAGCCTTTGGACTTTGGGTTTTTAGATTAGGGATGTTCAACATGTTTTTGCCCCCAGATGCTTTATTACCGACAAGAGGCATTATCCCCTCAGGGTCATTATCCCCTCAGGGTGACACCAAGATGGAACCTGTGACACCCCCGCCCCCTGCTCTGCCCCCTCCAACCCCGGGAAATCTCTGATCTTGATAGACTTACTCAGAGTCACATGACTTGCCCTAATAGGTAGAATGAAAGTATCTCTGCATTAAAGTCAGGTCAAAAGTTCTCAGGTGTTATGGCAAACCTTTTTACCTGGGAGTCACTGGGCTTCAGCTGTGAAAGAACAGCCTGAATGTCTCTTAATCCCAGATGGAAAATAAACTGCTGTCTGATCCACAGGGGCAGGGCTATTCCCAAATTAAGTTATCCGTGACAGTGTTCCACAGATAGATACAGCTGAGGAGAGAAAGGGAGGGTAAGACCTGCAGGATGCCTCAGCCTCCCAGCTGAGGTGCCTGCCCCTGAGCCTGAAGATCTGAATTCAATCCTCAGGACTCCCATGCTGGAACAAGAGAATCAGCTCCCACAAGTTGTCTTCTGACCTCTATGTGCACTGTAGCACACACACACACACACACACACACACACACACACACACACACACACTCCTCCACCCCTACCTCATTAACTAATTTTTTTTTTTTTTTTTTTTTTTTTGGTTTTTTGAGACAGGGTTTTTCTGTGTAGCTTTACGCCTTGCCTGGATCTCGCTCTGTAGCCCAGGCTGGCCTGGAACTCACAGAGATCTGCCTGGCTCTGCCTCCCGAGTGCTGGGATTAAAGGTGTTTGCCACCACCACCCGGCGTAACTAATTTTTTTAATAAGACAAATGTTCTAGAGAGAGAGAGTGAGTTCTAAACTCTCTAATAAGAATAGAAAAGTGAGTTCACTTTTTTTTTCTTTTTGGTTTTTTGAGGCATAGTTTCCTTGTGTAGCCCTGGCTGTCCTGGAACTTGTTCTGTAGACCAGGCTGGTCTCAAACTCAGAGACCCACCTGCCTCTGCCTCCCAAGTGCCTGGATTAAAGGCATGTGCCGTCTGGCTCAGGGGTTACAGCATTGGCTGCTCTTCCAGAAGACTAGGTTCAAGTCCCAGTACCCACATAACAGTTCACAACTGTGTGTAACTCCAGTTCCAGGGGATCTGACATCCTCACACACATGCAGACAAAGCACCGAGGCACATAAAATAATCATAAATAAATCATTTTTTAATTAAAAAATAGAAAAGTAAGACAACTGTGGAAAGCCAAGCTGAGCTCTTCCTTTGGACAGCCACGTTGTCTGGTTTTCTGTGTCACTTTTTGTTGTTGTTGTTTCCAGACAGCATCTTGTGTGTCCCAGGATGGCTTCTAACTCTGTACATAAACTTGAACTTCTGATCCTCTTGTCTTCGCCTCCCAAGTGCTAGGATTACAGGCATGTACCACCATGCCCAGCTGATGGGGTGTTGGGGAGGGAACTGCCTGTTAGACAAGCCTTCCACCAACCGAGATACATCCCCAGCTCCTTCTGAGTCACTTTCTTACCAGCTCCAGAGCAGCCACCTGCCACTTGTCAGAGTGAGCTGGCAGGCGCCAGGGTGTCTCCAGAAAGGGGGAGAAATTTCAGGAACACAAGGCGCTTTGCTCATTATCTTAGGACATGACCAGCCCCCTCAAATTAACGCTTTACCTCCCTGCTTATGACCAAGAGACGATCTCCTGATTCACTGCAGACTCACGATCAAATTAGTTTGTCTCTAGGCATAAATGACAAAGCAGACGCGGTGTCTAATCAAAGAGTCCGAAATTATATCTGAAGTCATTATAGCAGCTAAGCATTCGCTTGGCAGCGAGTATCTGAATAGAGCTTTGCAAAGATCCTTATGGCTGTTGCTAGGTTAGGGGTGTGTGTGTGTGTGTGTGTGTGTGTGTGTGTGTGTGTGTGTGTGTGTGTGTGTTTTATATATATGCTCTTCAGTGACAAATCCTCCCTGACATAGCCAAGATGTGCAAAGGTCACTGGGCTATTGTTTCAGAGGGAGATGTAAGAGAAGCCTTCTTGTATGGCTTTCGAGGAAATCCACTTCATGTGTTGCCTTAGTCATGTGAAGCACAGCACCGGTGAGGGAGCCAGATACACCCATATGTGTATTTGCTGGCACACAAACAGCACTGGGATCTTCTTCATGAGGCTAAAGCCTTATGGGGTCCGAAGCCCCGTGTTTGCTGCCTACTTTTTCACTTCTATGCGTAGGCTGAGCAGCCCCAGTACTTGTAAGGGCCCCCCATCACTCCTACTAGAGGGAGGGGATGTGGCTGCCACCTGTGTGCTTCTGGATTCAGGCAGCTGTGGGAGCGTGTCACTGAAGGGGCTCTCGAGCCACAGGTGAGAATTCTCCTGCTCCATAAATGTGGTGCAGAACTCACTGGCTGCCTCACTGTCCCTTTGTGGACCCTTGAGTGACAGTTGGTTCTGATTTAGTATTGTGTGCCATTCTGAATGTTCCTGGCAGATACAATCGGCTAAACACACACTAAAGTCATGGCACCCTTTTACTACACACACACACACACACACACACACGCTTGAGAAATCCAGCCTTCCCCCGCTGCAGTCCTGTGAATATACCTAGATTCTAAGCCAAGCTGTTTTCCCTCTCCCCTCCTCTCCCCATGCATCATTCACGCTTTTATTTTGCATTAGAAGCTTAGTGATCATGGACTTCGGCTCTTGCCTGGAGTGATCCTGTTCGCATTTTATTCTTTGCACAGAATAGGAAGGAGGTTCGCTTGCTTTGCGCAGAAGCTGAGCTACAGGAGAAAACAGAGCCAATGTGATTTATTGAATGAAAGCACTGGACACTTACCAGCAACTTGTTCCTCGGCTGCCTCGAACAGCTTCAGCTGGTAAGTCAAATTTATTGTTGTCTTTCTCCATGTATAAATGTGGGGCTTTCTCAGTCATGGATGATTTTTTAAATGTGTGTGTGTTAGTGTGGTTTAAATGATATATATTATTTAAATATGTTTTATATGTGTATATTTTTTTTAAATATCTGCATCTTCCAAAGTTCGCTGCAGGCGGTCCATGAGGAATACGACTAGGCATGCACACAGTGCTCTGCTGTAGTGCATGCACAGCCATGTGGAACAGCCAGGATGAGGGTGGGGGAGGCTCATTTCTGACAATTGGGCATTTTCTTTGCAGCAAGCTTAGTCACGTGAAGTGCTTGCATAACTGATTACCATTAGCTATTAGAAAAAAATAAATGACTGTTTTGTGGTAGAAATCATTTTTCACTCGGGTTCCTGAATACCTCAGAAAATACCTGTTGGATCAGGTAAAGGTGGGCCCCATCATGCTGATGACCCAAACTCAGGCAGGCTGCTGACTTTGATCTAGTGTGCAGGCTAGGCATGCAGAGTGTGAGATCAGAGATCTGTCCATCATGGGCTAGCCTGTCTGTCAATCACGTGAAGACTGTGATAGTGAAGATCCTTGCCAGAGTAACAGAGTGGACACTCGTTCGAGGTCTTGTTTGACCCTCTGTCTTCTTATCTCACTGATATCTGTTGGCAGGGAGGATTTGAGGTGCGGCATTGTAAGTGTCTTGTTGCCTATGTCGGATGTTGGTATGTCTGTGGCCACAAGTGGGACCACTGACATTCAAAGACGAGTCTGTTACCCTGCTGGCTTCTGAAAATCCCGATATTCACTTGCCTTCCCCACTTCCTAAGTAAGATGTAAACTGACCTCTGCAGAGGGGGAAAGGGAATGGAGAAAGCTGTTCCTTAGCTGGTCTCCTTAGTCTTGTTTGCCCGGCTACCCCGAGGCTTTATGGCAGCCTCAATCCATCTCCGGTGAGTTCGGAGTCCATATAAATGTCATAGAGAGTTTAATGTCTTTGGTGCACTCCCTCTGCTGTAGATCACTGGCCACTCAGCTGAAGCTGTGGCCTCGGGTGCTGACAAAGATGGATGATGTTAGAACAGTGAGCAGCAGGTTTCTTCAAATAAAAACCAAAGTTGGGAAATCTGAGAGATGGGTGAGGTTCCTCCTAGTCGAAAGGATCCCCAAGCCACTCCATCACAGAGAAAAGTCATTCTCCCATGTGACTGTTGCTGTTTCACAAATGACATCATCAGAGATGGAAGACAACAGAATGGCCTATTGGTTAGACAACTGGTAAGGTGGCCAGAGAGTGGAGTGTGTTTACTAGATCAAACATGTTGGACAATTCCCTTGGGGTCCCTGGATATCCGTCTCTCTAACTCCCCGATTCCTGGATGTTTCGAAGTAGACATGCTCAACTTGGTTAACATAGCCATGGGACACTGCTTTCAGCTCTGTCCACAGTGCCCTTGTCCCTACACTCCAACCACCAGAGACCCAAAGAGCATGCAGGGGAGGACTAAGGGTTCTGTGCCCTTTTCCCCCTCTGAGGGATACAGAAAATCTGATAGAAGTATGACTGCATTTGGTGTAAGAGAGAACAGAGCCGGAAAGTTACATTTGAAGAAACTCACATTCAAATAAATACAGTTTATCTTCAAAAATTTTTTTCAATTAGTTGTAACTGATTTTCTGTACACATGATTCCAAAGTCTTAAGTGTTTTAAAAGAAATATGCAGGTGTTGTATTGGGGGAAGGCAGGTGTGGATAAAACCATGTATAGAACTTACAGCAACTTACAGTTGTTTGGTTATTCAACATTAGCAGATATAAATATACCATAATATGAGGAGTCCTAGAGGTCTATTTTGCCCCCCAACAAACTATCTCTAGTATTAAGATATGTGAAGTTATTTCCCTGGAGATTTGGTACTTCTGGGTATTTCTGTCTTTTAGAAAATACATTCTCAGAAGGAATAACTCATTAGCCATTGATCCCTTCCCATGTATTGTTTTGACCTCAAGGGCACCCAAATGATGGATGATTGTGGTATTGATTATTCTGCTTTTTATTTACCTCACTCCAACTCCATGAGCTGCCTTTATAGTTACCTCACTCTTGATCAGAAAAGCAGGTAATATTTCAATCACGCTCTTACCTTCTTTCTATGGAATGCCTGACAATACCATCTAGATCAGTGGTTCTCAGCTTTCCTGATGCTGCGACCCTTTAATACAGTTCCTCATGTGGTGGTGACCCCCAACCATGCAATTATTTCATTGATACTCCATAACTGTGCTTTTGTTACTGTTATGAATCGTAATGTCAATATTTGACAATGTCAATATTTGATATGCAAGCTATCTGGTATGCAACCCCCAAATGGGTCAGTTTGAGGGTTGAGGACTGCTGATCTAGATTCTTTACAGAGCTTTGAGAGTGTAGAACACGGGGAAGAACAGATTCCTGTCCTCTCTGTGAAGCTCACATTTTGGCATAGGTGGGGAATTAATGTTTGATAGGGACACACTTGGTGTTTGTGAGAACATTCTAAAGGCAAAAATGGTGGAGGTGGCTGCACACCATTACAAATGTACTTCATTTTTATGCTAAGTATATTTTGCCACAATAAAGGAATCGTCAAGAAATACCCCATTGTGTTTTCTCTTAGATTTCTTTCGTGTGTGTGTGTGTGTGTGTGTGTGTGTGTGTGTGTGTGTGTGTGTGTGTATTTATTCCTTATTATTTTCATGCCTTTGTGTGTGGCCCTCTAAATTTAATTAGGGTTGTCTGGATGTGCATGGGTAAGAGTTGTTATATTTATTTGAGCAACAGCAACTTACCTGTGTCTACACCACTGAGGAATATGACTCCACTTCCCTAAACAACCATCAACCATTATGATTCCCCGGGGAAGGATGGGACATAGGAGCCTCTCCCTTCTGTGTGATGGAATGTTGATGGACCATCTTGGGTGGGTAACCACTGCTACTGTGAGTTCATAAGTTCAACAGCATGTCATGTAGAGAAGACAGCTTTTCATATCATTCCTTCCCATCCCCTGGATCTTGCAGTCTACTCCTCATCCATGATGTATCCTGAGTCTTAGAGAAAGTGTATGTCCTGTTTAGGGCCGAGAACTCCACAGCCACTCATTCTCAACACTTTCGTCAGTTAGAAGTCTCTATATTAATCACCCACCCACATCAAGCAGAAGCTTTTCTGACCAAGTCTGGGAGCTACACTAGTCTATGTGGATATACAAATATTTAGAAGGCAGTTTGACACCCTGTCCACATAGCAAAGTAACATCAGTCGGGTCCCTGCTATGGTTTGGGACCTCCACGGCTATGGGCTTGTGAGCAGACTTGCAGCACCAGGCATGCATTCCTCCTGGGTAGCGGCTTTAAAGATCCAACCCGAAAGCCCTGGTGACCCCTACAGTCACCAGCTCTGGGCCTTTTGCAACAGATTCATATTTGGTTGTCTCTTCCTGATATTCCCACACTCCTTCCTTTTCAAATCACTCTCTGGCTACTACCACATTCTCTAAAGATGCAAATTTCAACTTTTGAAGAATGTGTGTGTTTACTTTTAATTGGCGTGTACTAATTATCCAAGTGTGTTGAGTACAGTGTGGCATCCCGGTGTGCATATGGTATGAATGATCAGATGGCTAAGATAATTGATGCATCCATCGCTTACGGGCTTCTGGTGTTCCCTGCTGTACACAGCTTAACGTATTTGTTCCTTGTCATGTGTGCGAGCCCCTGGATGTTTCGGCCCTGCTACCTCTCCAGGCCTTTTTCCTAAGGTCCATGTACAGTATAGCGGATGAAATATACCACTGCCCATGTCAGAGCCCAGAGGCTTTCCATCCCCCACGCTTCCAGCATGTTCTGCCAGCCCATTTCTACATCATTTCCTGTCTCTACATCCTAACCTGGGCTCATATACCTGGAGTGTCATTTCTGCTCTTGCTAATTATTTCTCATTCATCATTCAAAATCATTTTCATGAGTCACCTTCTCTGACCCATTTTTCTCTGGCCCTCTCTTTTCCCATGGTCACGTCCTGTCACTCACTTCAGCCACTCACCTCTCTGTGGTACTTCTCTGTCTCTGGCCTTTTAAGGGAAATGTTTAGAGGTTAAGTGCTCAGAGGCATATCCACATTGCTTGCATGTTAATCCTAGATCTGCCCTTTAATAGAGCCTCAATTTATTGCCAATAAAATGAGGATAATAGTTCTGCCTTCAAATGACTGTTAAGAGACTCAAGAAGTTTGTATGTGTGAACGTACTGCAGTGGACTAAATGCTATGTCCCTTCAAAATTAAAACAATGAGATCCTAACCATCTGGTTAACAGTTGTCTTAGTTAGGGTTTTCTATTGCTGTGAAGAGACACCATGACCACGGCAACTCTTAAAAAGGAAAACATTTAATTGGTGTTCCGCTTACAGTTTCAGAGGTTTTAGTCCGTTATCATTTGGAGACACAGCAGTGTGCAGGCAGACATGGTGCAGGAGAAGGAGCTGAGAGTTCTACGTCCACAGGCAGCAGGAGTCTGTGTGCCACACTGGGTGTAGCTTGAGCATAGGTGACCTCACAGCCCATCCTCACAGTGACACACCTCCTCCAATAAGGCCACACCTACTCCAATAAAGCCACACCTCCTAATAGTGCCACTCCCTATGGAGGCCATTTTCTTTCAAACTACCAAAGCACTAAGACCGGGAAGACAGAGCTCTCCTAGCTGGAATTAGTGTTTCTCTAAGAGACCCGAGAGAGCTGGCTAGACCCTGTCACAGAAGGCTGTGTCTATGAACTGGGGAACAGGGACATTGAATCTGCAGGCATCTTGAGATCTTGGCTTCTCCAGTCTCTAGAACTGTGGAAAATAAGTTTCTGTTGTTTATAAGTTACCCAGTCGGTTCATTTGTTATAGCCGCATGGATGGACTGAGACAAGCTTGATTCTAAATACTGTCCAACTTTCTGAAACTCCTGTTGAGTATATGCTACCATTCTCACAGCACAATATTTCATAGCTGTGTGTCTGTCTCACTGCTTTTCCTTCTATCCCATGAGCACCCTGGGAACAGCTAAAGTAACAAGTTGCACTTATGTAGGACTTCCCCTTTGTTTGCATTGAAAGTCTTAGAATCTAGGCTTCTGCAATCCCAGGTGAGCTGACATTTCATAACTATGGAAGATCATATCTGCTTTCTCATGAGTTCCCAGGATCACATGCAGGATACCTAGGTTACCATCTAGACCATCTGTACATATATTTTGAACTTCAGAGTCACAATTAATTATTATTTGATCTTCTATCTTCTTCCCCACAAAACATATGCTTTAAAACTAAATCTCGGGGCCAATAAGATGGGTCAGTGTGTAAGGGTACCTGCCACCAATCATGACAATCTGAATTATACCCTCAGGTCCCACAGAGTGGGAGGAAAGAACCAACTCCCAAAGATTGTCCCCTGACTTCCACATGTATGCTATGGAATGTGCAAGTGTGCACTGAAAATACATGTGCTTGTACATGTGTACACATACACACACACATACACAAATAAGTGTAATTTTAAAAATGTTTGTAAAAAATTTAAAAAGCAGTGTTCCTCCTGAGTCACCACTGACATTTCAAATATATATATTTCATTTCAAAGGGCACAGAGACTAGAAAGGCGGCTTCCACTGCTATATGTCAATACTGTAATAGAGTGGGCCACCCCTTAGCAATCAAAGACACACCTGTCATGTTAAGAGCGGGTAGAGAATGGATGGGGTCAAACTTTCTCTTTGGTCTAGTGACAGGCAGGTTGAAGTGGGAAGGTCCCCAGTTCACATCACAGCCTAAAGAACAATATTTCCTGAGTCGAATATGTTCCCTTCACTGAGTACGTCTGCCCACCCAGCTGTCAGGAGTGACTAGAGCTCTAATTTCTAATACACAGTGTCTTGAAACTACATCTCACACAAACTGGCTCAGACCACTTCCAAAGGACAATAACACTGAAAACTTTCCACAACCGAGCTCCGGTGAAACACGGATTCATAACTAGGACAAGAGCACAGGTCTTGGAGTCAGAGTTCACATCTTACTGCTCTATTTTCTGGTTGTAAGGTCCTGGATACATTACCTAACCTCTCTGGGGCTCAGTTTCCTTGTTTCTAAAGTGACAATAAATAACCGTTTCTTCATCTTTTGACTAAGTTCACGTATACAATGATGAAGACTGAATGGTGGTACTTGTATCTGTCCAGGTTTGGATGAGCTCTTCTAGAGGACTATGGTTCAATTCCCAGCACCCACAGGGTAGCTCATACTAGCTATAATTTCAGTTCCAGGATTTCTGATGCCCTGTCTTCTGGCCTCTGTGGGCATCATGCACTTACATGGTACATACATGCAAACAAAATGCCCACATTGCAACACATAAGCCTCCCATGTTTTTCCCCACCTTGCTCCCATCCCTAGGCATGAACATGATCTGCTAGACTCAGTAATATGTCAGAGCTTTTCGAAGCCCTTTATTTCCAAACTGTCTCATTGCCAAAGTTCAGAGCAATTTAAAAGACTTGTTTAAAAATGCTGATGTCTGCTAAACAACCACCACAAAAACAAATACTCTAGAGGAAGAAGCTCATTGCTCTTGGGGGGCTGCAAGTCAAACAAAAAAATGACAAGCATTCTGAGAGGCTCTCCTAGGGAACAACCAGAAAGATCAAATAATGATACTTCTAAGGGGGTGGAAATGAAATGGTGAAGGACCACCAACCTTACGGTCCCTCTACAGTGGCTGGCGGTCTACATGTTTTTTTGTTTTAATGAGTGCTGATTTTCAAGGCAACCAGAAACTGGGAAAGATGCGAATGGGGCAAAAGAAATTAGAACGAAGCTTGATACTTGTACTGAATTCAGCTCTCCACCTTAAATACGCAATCCTTTTTTGTCTAATTTTTCAACTTTTTTCGATTTATCTTTATTCTACCTTCCCTTCTAAGAGCTGAAAGTTCTACATTCCATTTCTATTTTAGCATAAGTTACTATAAAAATCCAAAGTCAAATAGCTATATTTGCGTTTTTCTATCAAAATAAAACAAAGCACATAAAATTAATTTTTTTTGTACATAGCCATAAGACCATGTTTAAAGCCTATAAGAAAGATGAATGCTGATGCTATATCCTGGTGTCTAGTTTTGCATAAAGACTTGAGATAACTTAATAGTTGCTGCTATTTATTGCCAGGCTACCATGCACCAAAAGAGATAGCAATAATCATTTCTTCATCAATTTCATCTTCATAACTCTTTATCCAATATTATGCCATCTATTTACATGTGGTAAATAAGACCAGAGAAGTCAAAGCAGGCCCCCCAAGCCACATCTGCTGCAGATACCAATATCAGGAGTCAAGCGTGAGTCGATCAAGTTCCAAAGCTTGCCCCTTTCCAGAAGAGTGAAAAACCAAGAGCATCATTGTTGGTGGAGACATTTCTATTTCTAAGGATAGACAACAGAAATTTTTCTTTCTCATTCTCTCTCATCTGAGAACATTTTAAATGTAGAGGAAAAAGGGAAAACATAAAGACAGATGAAAACTAGAAGAGTGGAAACATGCTGATGACTGGCCTGGAAGAAAGGGGCAGCTGGGGAGTAAGAGGAGGTAGTCAGAGAGGCAGAGAAAGTCAACCCCCAGAGACAGAAGGGGGCAGATGGGAGATGCGCAAGGACAAAGGGGGCCACGTGGGTAGGTGTCATCAGTTAGAGGGCAAGTGGATGGAATTCAATCAAACAACAGGAATTTATGTACAGGACTCCTAGGCATTGTGGGAGATACAAAAAGAATGTAGAGTTATTTTGGGAAGGATAATGATGTAGGCAAGACAGATGGCTTGAACTAGGGTGTCAAGGAAAAGTCTAGAGACAGAAGGCAGAAATAAAGAGGTAGAACAACCCCCACATGGTAGCCTGGAACCTGGACCTTTGTGGAAAGAAATATTAACAAAAACCCTGTAGTTGCTATTGAGTCAAAGATAAAAAAAAATCTGTAGATTGGAGAGAAAGAAGACAAATCACCAAACCATTCTACTTCTGCTTTGAAGACAATTAAAAGGCCTTTAAAAATATATAAAAATGCATACACACAAGCAGCGCCATGTATCACCTCTCCAATGTAAGAATGTCTGCCTAGTTAAGACTGAGTAGGGACTGATGGCCATGACTAAGACTTAATTGGGTTCTGCCATCTCTTTGTCTTGGAAGACGTTGCAAGCTAGTTTGAAAAGGTACCCAAGGACACTAAATGTCATTATGGTGGTATTCCATTTGTTGGAGAGAATATAAATCAAGGGTAGCTGGTAACAGCATTACAAGTAGAAGATGTCATTCAAAATGTGACAGGAAATGGTAGGAAGACATCGGTGCTTTTTCAGAGAATTCAGAGCCCCGTGCCCCAGAGGCTTCAGGGAAGAGAACATACTTTGCACCACAATGTATAGACTAGCAATTCTATTTTTGCATTTACCCATCTAATACACACCATACACCAGGCAAGCACAGACTTTCTAGCTTCCATATTTCTATAGCAATATCCAAATCAATGGTGGATGGATTTAGAAATGACATACCTGACCTCCCAGAAACTAACTTCAAGTGTGACATGAGGGGGGCACCCACTAGAGATTTTTAGGATCAATAGTCAAGTATGACTTGAAGACTGCTAAGCAGGAACAGAGGACTTCTGCCCAGGGTATCCAGGGTAAGCAGGGTCAATCCTATAGATAAAAAGTCCCTGAGCACACTGGATTAGTTAACCAAGTGGACACAATTAGCTTCCCTATTTGATTGTTATTCTCAGAAGAAGGTGGGTATGCAAAAAAGAATGGCATTTTTTGTTGCTTTTTTTTTTTTTTTTTTTTTTTTTTGGAGACAGGGTTTCTATATGTAACAGCCCTGGCTATCCTGGAACTCGCTCTGTAGACCAGACTGGCCTTGAACTTAGAGACCCACCTGCCTCTGCCTCCAGCATGCTGAATGCTGGCTTAAAGGCATACACCACCACTGCCTGGCTGAACCACACTTTCTTATCCATCCAATAGAGGTCAACATCTACGGGGAGGGAGTTTAAAAATAGTCTCAATTACATATAACCAAGATTACACATACCTCCTAGATACAGCACTGAGACTCTTTCCTAACTGAGTGAGATACCAAGGGTTTTAAGTGTTCATGTATAAATGGATAGTTCATAGAGTAAATGGGGTTGACATTTCATTCCTGCCACCAATCAGCTCTGGAGCCATAGAAAAGCTGCTTCCTTTCCCTGGGTTTCCATTTTCTCCTCTACAGCAGGAAGAAGCTGGGATTGGTGATCTCCGCGGGCCTTCCCAGCTGGAATATCACATTTGGATCTGAGATTTCCAGATGGTTCCTGGAGGTGACAGAGTTCTTTGTGGTGTGTAATTGCATTGTGTGTAATCATCATGCATGCTGCTTTCCTCTTCCTAGGAACTGCCGCTCGAAAATGACCCAACAAATGCAGAATTTACATCTTTCTCAGTCAAAAAAGCACAGCGCTCCCTCGTCTCCCAATGCTGCTAAGCGCCTGTACAGGAACCTCTCGGAGAAGCTGAAGGGCAGCCACTCATCCTTTGATGAGTGCTATTTTAAAACCAGAACGGATCGGCTGAGTCTCAGAAAGACCTCCGTGGTAACAGAACTCTTTCTACTCCCATGTCAGTTCCATTGTTCAACAATGTAATGGATGTTTCATTTTTACACATAAAGTCCATTAAGACAGGAACTATACATATATAATGTTACATTAAGTTTGGATGAATGGAAGGCTTTTCCACCTCTCTTTTTCTTAACTTCTTTCCTTAGGACTTTTTTTTCCACTACCAGACCAAATAAACAAATCTCCAAAATAAGCAGCTTGAACAGATAGAGGTGTGGACATGGGGGTAGATTGCTTGACGAGGATGCACAAAGTCCTGGGGTCAATCCTCAGACCCCCAGAAACACACACACACACACACACACACACACACACACACACATACACACACACACACACACACACACACCACACACACTCAGTTTGGCAAATATCAAATGTTTCAGATTAAATGGACTTCCTAGGAGTACCAGTGCTCATTTAAATAATAGTATTAAAATCATTTAGAGGTTTCAGGTAAACGTGTGTGTGTGTGTGTGTGTACATATACATATTTCACATGTGTTTCAGAGGCATTCAAAATACAATCCAAGAATAGAATTCTGTTTATTATATAAAGAAAGAGGACAGAAAAGGCCAGCACAAGAAAATAGATGGAAAAACAAATATCTATACCAAAACTTTAGGCAAATATACTCCATGAAATGTAGTATTACATTCACCTTTGAGTCCCCAGGCAGTCAAAGCAGGAAATACAATTGGGTGTGACCTCCCATTAGCTGATATCTAAAAGTGTATCAGTCCATCAGGAAAAATGAACATCTTCCTGTTGCTAAATTGTGTGGCCTGTATAGCTGTCATGGCCATTAGTCCGTAGCCAGCGGCATACAGAGTATATTACAGATGTTCTCAGTAGTGTTCGGCACTAGCTGTGGGTCAAAGCAGCAGGCATGCATTCACATGATCGATGAGAGTATTTATGCAGGGAGGTAAGGGCTCCATGTGGTATTAAAGCAGAAGTAAGTCCTGGCCTTCACAGATAGAAGCAAACAAGTTAGAGTTTGGAGGAGGAAATCACCTAAAAGGGATAGTAAATATGGCAGGCAAGAGACAAGAGACACCAATAACCATAAACAAAGGCACACTGGAGACAGGGCAATGTTTTGATTTTTGAATTCATTTGTTTCCTAATATGGCTTCCTATTTCACACCCATCTTCTAGGAGGGCTTAGCTGGGCTTAGGTTGTGACCTAAGCACCAGAAGCCCTTCCGTTTGGCAGACTGTAGAAAAGCAACTTCTCTATTCAGTACAGCAGGAGAACAGCATACCAAAATAGGCTTCTCCTCTGGGTCCCTATTGTCAAAACAAGCATTTGCATAACCGCTTCGTATTCTCCCCAGGTTCCTATGCTGTGGTATGCGCTCAGCCGAAGTGGACTGGCAAGGCTTGCATAGGGAAAATCAATTTTTGATGAGACTAAAAATAAAACCGTCCTGCCTAAACATTCGGTCACTGAAGAGCTTCCACATATTAATCAGATCACAGCAGTAGGTCAAGGCCAACGGCATCCCAACATCTCTGAAAGCAAAGTAATTCTTAGAGAAATGACACCTAAATGTAGAAGTAGGATGTGCCTCCATCTTCCCTGGTGAGCTACCAAAAAAGTAGTATTTGTGAGAATCCGAGGGATCTTTTTTGTTGAATGTTAGTCTTTTACAAAAACTTTTTCAAGAGTCATATTGTCCATGCCATTTTTTTTTCTATAGATGATTTATATTTTTATAAATATTCAACATCTGGCCCTCTTAAACAATTATCCACTCAGCACTGTAGCTCTCCTAGGAAAACCACTTCCAACCCTGTACCAACCTGCTTTTCTTCTTCTTCTTCTCCTCCAGAATTTCCAGGGCAATGAAGCCATGTTTGAGGCTGTCGAGCAGCAGGACCTAGATGCTGTACAGCTGCTCCTCTACCAGTACACACCGGAAGAGCTAGACCTGAACACACCAAACAGCGAGGGACTGACGCCCTTGGACATTGCCATCATGACCAACAATGTGCCCATTGCTCGGATTCTTCTGCGGACAGGGGCCCGAGAAAGTCCACACTGTAAGTAAACCTAAACGTAAAGGCCCATATCATCCATCAGACCTTTGCTCTATGTCACCAAAATAACTGCTCAGGAATGGTTGACAAAACACAGACCCTGAAATCCTTAATGTGTTTCCTAAGACTTTCGTGTAAAGATCAATTAGTGTTTATCAGTTTAAGCACTTAATTGTTCTCTAGGGAAACCATAATCAATGTTATTGAAAGGAAGCCTCTCCAAATGGCTTTCCTAAAAATCAAAGCTTTTCAGGTATATGGCGTCTTTGAATGATGATGATACAGAATTAGGAAGTGTTTGTAGGAAATGGATGAGCTGTTTGTGTCTCTGCGTCTACAGTCAATGCAGGGGCTTTACTCAGTCACTCACAAACACTGAGTAAAGACTGTCCCAAGTCGAGAAATGCAGTGGCAAACTAGATAAATGCCTGGATCTTGGCAGAGCACTTGCATCCTAGTGGAAGAGATTCCAGTAACCAAATGAATTGATAAACTACACCATAAATTCAAATATCGGTAAATGCTGCGAAAAAGAACACAAATGAGTAGCGAGAGGTTCGTAAGGGAAGGTGTTGGTTTTCAATGCGGAGCTTTAACTCTGTGAAGAAAGGTCACGAGGCACGATAAAAACCTAGTATCAGAGCTTTATTGGGAGGGGGAGGGAGGAGGAGGACAGAAGAGAGTGTGGCCAGGCCTGTTGAAAAGACACAGGAGGAGAAGGGGGAGAGGGAGGGAGGAGGAGGGAGCAGAAGAAGAGGGGAGGAGTCTGTGACCGGCTTTTTAAGGATTCCCCTGCACATGCTCCTGTGGGCTTACGGAACTATACCAGGAATGTGCAGACTGCATGACCACGCTGCACACGTTGTGCAATCACGCAGCGCATGGATTACGTAGGACAACGCAAGATCCCTTGCTTGGCTACTGAATGGTGCATGTGCGGTCATATAGCTGAATGAGTGGCCAGAATTCTAACAGAAGGGTCCATTTTAAATAGGGTTAGGCAAGAGAACCTTAGCTGATGTGGCACGGTATGACTAAGTCCCAGATGATATAAAGTAATTAACCATCAGATGTGGGATCCATTCTGGGAAGAATCAATGCTAAGTAGAAGTCTCGAGACAGTCAGAAAGGAAGCTAAAGTACTGGAATAGAGCAAATAAAAGTGTGGATGAAGTCACCCGGACCAGATAGTAGAGTCTGGTAGCCATGCTACGATGTGTTCCTGTAAAGACTGAATGTGATGGGGGAAGCAGTGGCATGATCTGTGAATGCTGTGGTCTGTTTTTACTTTACAAGGGCCACTATGATGCTGTGAAAGGTGAAAAAGGAGAGGCGGTTGTAGAGGTGGGACAATCAGTCAGGGTCTACTTTATTGAATGATCCATGGGACAGGTGCCAGTTTCTGGGACTAGCATCGCAGTAATGTTGACCAGAGACAAATATCAGACAGATGATGGACAGATAATGTAGACAGAGAGATGGATAGTAGATGACAGTAGATAGGTAAAGATAGACAGATACATAGACAGACAGGAGAGATGAGTGACAGATGATCGATGGTTGATGAGTCATATAGAGAGATAGGTGATAGAGATGGTAGGTTATTGACAGAATGAAAGAGAACAGAGATACAGAGACAGAAATCACACGTCACAAAATTCACTCATTAAAAGAAAGATGTAATGTTGTTTAGTAATGCAAAACCAGGTAACCATCACCATAATCATTTAAGAACTTCTTTATCACCCTATAGAAATCCCACACCCTTGCCTCCTTACTCTTTAACCTCCTCCCCATCCCCAGCCCTAGGAGACACCAATAGTCATTTCGTGGTGGTGTTGCTGTTTTCACCAATCTGCCCCTTCCAGACTTCTCATACAATGGAGTCATACACAATGTGATTAGCTAGGTGCTATTCCGAGTACTTTACACACATGGACACCTTCAGTCCTCACAGCATCACCAGGTCAGAGCTCACATTCTCCTTGGTGCAAACTCTCTGATCCAACAACCACGGTGGCTTCAGTGCCACCAGACACTAGTTCTAGAAACCTCACCAGACTGTTCTTTCACCGACACTGCTTCACTTATTTCCAAGTGGTGGACCCCAGAGACTGGAAAACCAGAGGAAGCTCGTGCATGATTAGAGGTCACATCTCAGCTCCCAGATTTCCTAAAACTATCCCCCCCCCCCCAAAGACTAGGTCCAGAGACAGACACCTGTATCAGAACACTATTGCAAAAAAATCTAAGCTTACCAAGCCCATGTGGAAGAGCTTGAGGAGTACTTGGGGGATGGAGGGTCTTCAGAAGAGCTGCCTGATCAGAGGGCTGCTCCTTCTTAGCGAAATTTGAATGTTCAGATGGAAAGTTAAAAAAGGGGGGGCTGAGAGAGATCTCTGCTACCTTCTGATTCATTTGCAATAATGTCTGTCCTCCAGATTCAGAAAGAGTGGGGTAGAGGGAGAATTAGAGGGTTTGGACACAGTGTGCAGACTAAGCCCCATTCTGTAAGAACAAGGAGACTATTCATGTAGATACTGCCACTCCTTGTACCCTGAGTGGATGAAACATTAGTCCTCCTCACCTGAGACTCTGCAGAAGTATGCATTTTTTTCTGTGAACTGTAAGACTCCCCATGTGCCCAAGCCCTTCCATTTATAATTAAGTTTCCATAGAAGTGCTCATGTACTGAACTGGGCATGTGGTTTAGTTAGCAGAGTACCTATGCATTATGCACAAAGCCATGGCTTCAGTCCTCAGCACCCACCATAGAAGCTGAGCATGGGAGTGTATGCCTTTAATCCCAGCACTTGGGAGGTGGGACACAGGGATCAGAAGTTCAAAGTCATCCTTGACTAGAAAGCAAGTTCAAGATAACCTGAGCCATAAGAGTCAGAACTCAAGTACCAACTGTCTGGAAAGTCAAAACCAAATATGCTAAAGATTCTGGATTTTCCTTGCTCCCACTGGGATGATGACCATATTGTTATCACAAAGTTGCAAAAAGAGAAACAATAAGTTAAAATGAATAGGTTCTCAGGCTCTGGGGAAAAGGACACTTAAGTTATCATGACCACCCAAGAAATCAAAGTGACATCTCCAGGCTCAAACAAAGGCAAAATGACAAAGAAATACTGGTTGAGTGTCCATGAGGTCCCTGCACACATTACTTTTGAGTTTTAACACTAATGCATGTTGTTAACTCAGTTTTCAAGGTGATTTATTTATGATATGAAAAGGTGATTGTCTTATTTAGGTTTTCCACTACTGTGATAAAAATCCATGACCAAAAACAACTTGGGGAAGAAAGAGTCTACTTCAATTTACAGTTCCACTTCATAGTCCATTATTGGGGCAGAAACTCAAGGCAGGAACCTGGAGGCAGGAACTGAAGCAGAAGCCATGAAGGAGTGCTACTTACTGGCTTCCTCCTTGTGGCTTACTCGGCCTGCTTTCTTAGAGCAGCCAGGACCACCAGCCCAGGCATGGTACCACCCACAGTAAGCTGGGTCCTCCCAAATCAATCATCAATCAAGAAAATGCCCCACAAGCTCGCCCACAGGCCAATCTGGTAGGAACCTTTCTCAGTTGAGATTCCTTCTTCCCAAATGACTCTAACCTGTATCAAGTTGACACTAAACTCGTCAGCTCACTGGCCTAAGGTCACACAGTTAGCAGACAGATGTCAGCGACACAAGCCCAGGTCCATTGGATACTAATCCTGGGATCCTTCTATACAAACTTGTTGTCTTTCTGAATAACCAACATGGAGGGCTGTGGCCAGTGGGCTCCTGTATCTTTCCTTTCGAGCTATTTGCTGAAATCCTGTGGTGCATTTATTTGTTCTCTTCTGAGCACTAGGGAGCCATTTGTGTTGGATAAAGGCAGGATAGAAGAACACAGTGTTTGCAGGAATTTTAAATTTACTTTCTAAATCAAGTACAAAAGAAATAGGATTGCTTCTGTCCAGGAGTATGAGGTTTCCCAGGAGAAAAGCTGCAGCCTGCCGTCTGTAACCAGAGGCAAACACCTGCTACAAACTGCTCCCAAGCTGGAAAGGCATGGCTTAAGAGAAGAAAAATCCCAACCAAGTCTTCAATTCTTAGGATGCTTTGCATATACAAAAATGTTCTCTCTGGCTGAAGAGACGGCTCATTCAGTAAAATGTATGGAGGCCTGAATTTGATTCCAGGAACCCACAAAATGAGGCCAGGAGCAATTCTGCAGCCTTGTAGCCTCAGCACCAGGAGGAGGCATAGACAGGCAGATCCCTGGGGTTCCCTGGCAACCAGCCTAGACTATGTGATGAGCTGCAGTCCAATGAGACACAATTTCTCAAAAACTAAGGTGGAAACCACCCATAGAATGAAACCCAAAGTTGACCTCTGCCCCTCCCCACCACACACAGGCACACAACTACTTCTACCCATTATGTACCCTCACAAACACAAACAGACACCTAGTCATACACATGGACTCACATATACTAAAATATTGCTTTTCTCGGTATCACCTCACTTGATTCTCACAATTGACTTGTAAGGTAGGAGGTATTTTTCTCATTTTTCTGTGAAGAAACTAGAAATAAGAAAGTCAAAACATTCACCTAGCATTACCAAGCTAATGGGGTAGAGCCAGGATCTGAACCCAGACCTAACTTTCAAAGTCTCTCACTGTTACACAGTAGATGTTCAACTCTTTCCTTCCCTTGCTCTATGTCTGCTTCTCTAGTGACTACCCACTATTTCAAAGCAGAGTGTCAGGTCTCCAATAGAGTTAATTTCCTTCCTTCTCTTCCCAGGAGTAGTTTTCTTCTCAAAATTAGCCCCACCCTCCTTTAACTTTGCCAACCAAGGATCCCAACATGAGTCAGAAGAAGGTTTTGTATGATTTACCCCATTTCTTAGCAGGAATCACAGCATGGTTGCATTCATTACTTATTTCTAAAGTCATGGGCCCTGAACTGTGGAGCTAGATGAGGATGTTTGTTATGAGCATGG